AGGGCATCCACTGTGAATATATAAATTATATGGGAAAGTACAGTACTCAAAATAGTCTCTTTCATATATTAAACTAAGCATAAGAGATTGTGAATAATACAATATTAACTATGTAAGGGATTTATAACATGGTTGATTAGCAAATTCAAGCATTAAAATTAGCCTTCAGCTCTAAGGAATAAATCTGATGAACTGCTATCTACACATTCTGAGCTTTACAGTTGATTCAAGTGTTACAAAAATTATTGCTGCTGAATGAACAAAAATATGTTATTAAAGTAACATTTTATAATAATTTAAATTTAATTACTTTCATAGTCAATTAAATTTTTAACTGTCAAAAACCTTTTCAGGTAGGAGGGAAATTATTTCCATTCTAGAAATAAGATAACTGGGGATTCAAAAATAAGTCATGTAAGGTTAAATCAAATTTGAACCCAAATCCCCAGCTCCCTAGCACTTAGTATGTGCTCATTAAATATAAATGGAAAGCACAATTCCTCTGTTAACACAAGTGTTTTAAACCATTTACTTCAGAATAAAGCACATTATTGCATGTTTACTATGTGACAGCCTCTGTGCCCTTTGCTGGGAATACAATATGAGAAAAATATGTTTCATATAATCTGCATTCCCCAAGTATCAATTTCGTGATTCAGATATTGGCTTTGGGATCCTTCTCATGTTCCAAGAATTCTATGGTGGCTTGTACTGCAGAGGTATTATTCTGGATATGTAATATTAATAGTTTGTCAAAAGGTAGGCTGATAATAATCAAAAATATCCCTGCAACATAATCCACTTGAGAATCTGAAATCAACAACCAGTTGTTGGGAAACTAAAATCTCTCCTGCCACTTAAGAGAACACCCATGTTTATTGACTGAAAATAATAGACTTTCTTATAATTCATTTACAATGTTTTGACAATTAAATAGTAGATATATATCTTGAGAAATGTCTGTACATATCCTTTACCCACTTTTTAAAGGTGTTACTTGTTTTTATCTTGGTGAGTTAAGTTGGTTGTAGATGTGGTATGTTAGTTCTCTGTCAGATGCATGGTTTGTGAATATTTTGCCTCATTCTATATATGGTCTGTTTACTCTGTTGATAATTTCTTTTGCTATGCAGAACATTTTTAGTTGAATTAAGTCCCATTTGTCTATTTTTGTTTGATAGCATTTCCTTTTGAAGTCTTAATCATGAATTATTTGCCTAGGTCAATGTCTAGAAGAGTTTTCTCTAGGTTTTCTTCTAGGATTTTGTATCTTTCAGGTCTTATAGTTAAATATTTAATCCATTTTGAGTTAATTCTTGTATACAATGACAAAAATACAAAAAAAATTCTCGACATCACTAGTCATCAGAGAAATGTACAATGAAATATCATCTTACGCCATTAAGAATGAGCATTATTAAATAGACAAAAAAATAACAGATGTTGGTGAGGATGCAGAGAAAAGGGAAGAAAAGAAAAAGTCTTCCCTTTTCTCTACATCCTCACCAACATCTGTTATTTTGAGAATGTAAATTAGTACAGTCTCTATGGTAAACAGTATTGAGATTTCAAATAACTTAAAATACAATGGCTATATGAGCCAGCATCCCCACTACTGGTCATCTATCAAAGGAAAATAAATCATTACATAAAAATATACTTGCTTGTATGTTTATCACAGCACTATTCATAATACCAAAGTCATGAAATCAACCCATTTGTCCATCAACAGATGATGGAACAAAGAAAATGTAGTATATATGCAGCCACAAAAAAGAATGGAATTATGCCTTTTGTGGCAACATGGATGGAGCTGGAGGCCATTATGCACAGTGAAATAAACATAAAATCAAATAACACATATTCTCCTTATAAGTGGGAACTAAACATTGAGTAATCATGGACATATAGATGGAAATAATAGACACTGGGGACTTCAAAATGGGGGAAAGAGGTGTGAGTTGAAAAATTACCTATTGGGTGCACTTTTTACTATTTGGGTGATGAACACATTAGAAGCCTAAACCACGCCATTATGCAACATATTTATGTAACAAACCTGCACATATACCCCATGAAACTACAAAAATAAGTAAATAATTATACACACACATGCATGCATACACACTTGGCTTATAGAATTTTTATGACTAAATATATACCTTAATATGAAGATATAGTGAAAAAGGTTTAATTATTAAATTCCATTCAACTCTTATTGTCTTTATATAATAATATTATAAGTTCTTTAGACACACACACACATATTTGCTAGGAGGAGGAGGAGGAAAAGAAGGTGGGGGAGAAGGAGGAAGAAGAGGAGGAGGAAGAGAGGAAAATAAATTATAATCTTTGTGTAGCCAATAGATCTTTGTCAGAGGTCTATTTTGACCTAAAACACCCAGTCTTTCTATTATCTAGCAAAATAACAATCTGGTGCAAATTTTTATTATTCTTATTACTGAATTGCATTTATTTGAAAGGCTAAATCCTCATTCTGGGCATGCTTAATATGTAAATGTGTTACTGAACAGAATTTTTATCTTCACTTTATTACCCTATACATCGAAGCAGAAAATTTTTAAGAGACCCTACACTGCCACACACATCTCTGCTTGGACCCCTAAAGGATTAGTTGGTATTCTTTTGTTCTACACATTAATGGCTAAAATGACATTAGCAAAAGCCTAGCAGATTCGAAAGGCTTTTCTTATCCATGTTGGCTAGTGTGTCCTAAAGGACTTAGCCCATTGTACCAAATTCTTCACTGCTGGCCAAAAGATGCCTAGATGTGTATGAAAGTAATTTTCTACTTTCCATTCCCATCTGTTCTCAAATTGTCTTTTCATGTAGATCTGACAGATGCTCTGGGATTGCCTTCTCATTTCTCTGTGCATTTTCTTCCTAAAACTAAGTTGGCTCTTTTCTCCCCCCACCGCACACCTGCCTTGGCTGCAACTGCTCCCTGGAACACTTGTAGGGTTTTCATTATGGATAATTGAGATATCCTTCCAAACTACCTTACCATTAATTATTTAGTTGCATCAAATTTCCTCTTTTAAAAATCAGAGATACATTGGTTTTAAACATGGCACATATGGCAAACTTAATTTTTTTTACCTTTTAATAATACATTCCAAATTTTCAATACCATAACATTTTTATCACTTTTGCTTTGGCTAAAATCACATGAAATTTAAGTATATTGGCATGTTGGGATAATTTGTGAAATATTTAATTATCTAATATTTAATTATGTATGTACAGGACCAGTTATACAATTCACAAGGTCTAGCACAAAATTAAAGTGCAAAGCTCCTTGTTCAAAATTTATTAAATCATGTTCTGTTGGTGTTAAAGCATTAAACAAAGCATGAGGCTCCTGTAAGCACAGAGCATCATGTGACTTCACTTGTTGCATACTCATGAAACCAGATCCTGTCTACATATAGCATTTTTTTTTTCTTATCAAAGCTCATATATTAGAAATAATAGGTAATTAAATTTTCAAAACTTGATATTCACGATGAAAATTCTGGTATAGCTTCAGTAATGTTTAACATTTTTCTATAAACTGTTTAATCAACTCTTTAATATTACTGAGTTGTTAAATTTTTTCTGCTAATACAGTGTTCTTTGATTTATTGTACTGTTCTTGAATTCCTTATTTTGAAGTCCTAAAGGTTAAGACAAAGGGTTTTGAAGATAGAGTCAGTGTGAATGTCAGCTCCAACACATACTGTCTCATGACCCTAGCAGGGTCCTTACCTCTCTAGGCCTTCATTTACTAATAGACAAAATGAAGTTAAGAATGACATACATCTCCTAGTGTTTTCTTTTGTTTTTGTTTTTAATGGGGATTAAACAAGTTAAATTAGTAATGACTCTAGGATAGTGTCTAAACATAGAAGGAGCATATGAATGTTAAATATTAGTTGTTTATTAAAACCAGCTTCTAAGCCCTAATTCTGGTATCATCCTCTATTGATACTCATTGTAAGCACATCTTCTGCCTTTGTTTCCTCTTTTCTGTCTCTCTTCATTTATTCTATCATATCATTTGATACAGATACTATATTTCCTTCCTGTGTATTATACATTCTCATAAATCTGAAGTTTCCAACTCTCAAAATCGCCCTCAAATTGTTCTACTAGTAACCTTTCTGTGTCCATTGTGAGATCCTGAAGATGGTGATAATGAATTCAGCTTTCATGACCACTTGAATCTTATAAACTGATGCCTTTATAGCTTTTTGACACATTCCTCTTTCTACAACTCATGAACCTTATTTATATAATTCAGTCCTTGCCTATCAGGCTATGCATAAACACAAGAGACATCATCCGTATTTTGAATAACTGCATTTGAAAATGCAAAACTTTCTCCTGTATGCAGTAAGTTTTGTTCTTTCACTGCTTCATATCAAAATAACTCAATTGCAGAACTCTAGCTTAGACTAATTGCCACAGGTCTGAGAAACCCTAAAATCTATCCATCTTCAATGGGAACTGAAGTAAACATTCACTATTTACCTTAATCAAACTAAATGTCTAAGCCTTTATGCTACCCTGTGTCACAGGGTTCTTTATCCTTGTTTTACTGAGCACATCCATAATCCTATTCAAACCCCTTTCCTCTCCTTTCCTTTAAGTCTTTTCAATATGTCCACTAGAAGACCCAATTTGTGATAAGAAGACTCCCTGTGTTCTCACTTTCTTCTTAGACTATGTCCTCCACTTTCTTACCTTAGGATTACTTGAATGTGCGTTGAGGATCTAGTTTCTAATGATACTCCTGGAGTGAAAGCTGTGTCTCTCCAGATATCATATCTGTGAGACAAACAGCCTGAAGGATGGCTTATTGTCTTCATTAGGATATCAGCCAATATTACCTGTTGAACAATAAACTTTCATGTTAGTAAATATGCAACCTATGAATCCTTGAATCTTTGAATCCCTTAAATTCAGTGTTGGTATTGAGATATGATGTTCTGTTCCAGTCATTATGTTGACTGTTACCTACGACCAGCATCTGAGAAAGCCATCTCACAAAGACTCTCTATAACCAAGAAATTAATACAGAGCCTTCACCACTGAAAGCACACAGAGTTGAAGCCAGGTGACAATAAATTATAAATATTAATGTCACATTCTCAAAGAGATATTGTGTTTAACTTTTAAGCATTTGTCTTATGAATCTTACCACACTGTTCTGGGATATGTGCAAATTTTACTACTTTTGAAATTTGCATATAGCTTTATTTTATTAATAATCATACACAAATATGTATATGCTTTCCCTCTTTTTGCTATTTTATGTATTCCTTTTCTCCTCATTTAATATCACCTTATCTGGAATTTACTTTGTTATGTGGTTAGAGCTAACATTTTTGGTTTTCTAATGACTAACCTAGCTGTTTAAGTATCATTACTGCAATTATTTTTGTATGGTTTGGGCATTATATATGAGTCAAGTGGTCTTCCTATTCTACCTTTATGATACCACATTTGTTATAAACTAATTTCATAGTTATGTGGAACAATTTTTAGGCCTTCTACTTTACTAAGTGCTTTTAGCTCTCTAAGCACCACTCTATTTCAATAATTGCTGAAAATGAGGATTGTCTTAATTCTTTGGAATGCTACAAAGGAATACCCAAGGTTGAGTAATTTATAAAGATAAGAGGTTTGTTTGCCTTATAGTTCTGCAGGCTGTACAAGAAGCATGACAACAACCAGCATTTGCTTCTGGTGAGAGCTTCAGGCTGCTTCCACCCATGGCAGACGATAAACAGAAGCCAGCTCTTCAGAGATAAAGTGGTAAGAAAGAGGCAAGACAGAAAAAGAAAGAGATGCCAGGGTTTTTCAACAACTAGTCCTTGAGGGTACCTAAAAGTGAGACTTATGCACTCCTGTGAGTGTAGCACCAAGCTACTGATGAAGAATTCACCCCTACATCCCAAACACCTCCCACCAAGCCACACCTTCAACACTGGGAATCCAATTTCAATGTGAAATTTAGTGGGTCCAAACACACTCTAGCAATGATGATGATCATGATGATTATGATCATGGTTTCAGCATACAAGGAGCCAAGACTCCTCATTAGTCTCCTTTCCTAAATAGTCCTAGCTATTTTGGTTAATTATTTTATGACTCTGTCACGTCTAAGAAAGAATTTCCTGATGATATTTTGGTCATAATTGCAGTAATTATATTGATTAGTTGTAGACAATTAGCAACATTACAGTGGTCATTTTTTCTATCAAAGAACACAGACCACTGTATCCATTTATTTAGATGTTCTTAATCTACAGTAAAATTTTTTTTATTTAAAGTATTCTGATTTTTCTTTATTATATATTGTGATGGTTAATATTGAATGTCAACTTAATTGGATTGAAGGATACAAAATATGGTTCCTGGGTGTGTCTGTGAGGGTGTTGCCAAAGGAGACTAACACTTAAGTCAGTGGACTGGGAGAGGCTGACCCACCCTCAATCTGGGTGGGCACCATCTAATCAGCTGCCAGCACAGCTAGAATAAAGCAGGCAGAAGAGGTTGGAAAGGGCAGACTTTCTGAGACTTCTGACCTTCCTCTTTTTCCTGTGCTGGACACTTGATGTCCTTGAACAGCAGACTCCAAGTTCTTCAGCTTCTGGGCTCTTAGACTTACATCAGTGGTTTGCCAGGGCTCTCGGGCCTTTGGCCACCGACTGAAGGCTGCACTGTCATCTTGTCTACTTTTGAGGTTTTGGGACTTGGACTGGTCTACCACTAGCTTCCTTGCTCCTCAACTTGCAGACAACCTGTAGTGGGACTTTTCCTTGTGATTGTGTAAGTCGATTCTCCTTAATAAGCTCCCTTTCATATATACATATATCCTGTTAAGTCCATCCCTATTGAGAACCCTGACTAATACAGATTTTGGTACCAGGAGAGGTTCTAGAGGAACAGAATTTTAAGGATGTATTTCTTTAGTTGGTTTTGGGATTTTTGGAGTTGGCTGCTTAATATGATTAGACACCAAAATGTTAAGGATTCTACTTTTAATAGTATAAAGAACACTGATAGTCTTTGGTGTGAACTGTTTAGAAAGTTAGGCAAAATGAAAGCATTTGATACTCCTGATTCACTACTCGTGAGAGACAAGGAGTTTAGTGACTCTGTACATAATACCTTTGACTATATGTGGAGAACCAAGGAATATAATGAAGTTGGTTGGTTGCTCCTAAGTTCACTGGGCAAAATGATGAACTAAAAAGATGAGCTCAGGCATTCTAACTCCCAGTTCCATAAGCACATCCTGAACCTCAAGCCTTCTTTTTTTTTAATTTGGAAATGGAGTCTCACTCTGTTGCCTAGGCTGGAGTGCAGTGGTGCAATCTTGGCTCATTGCAACCTCCACCTCCCAGGTTTAAGCAATTCTTCTGCCTCAGCCTCCCAAGTAACTGGTGCCACCACACTCTGCTAATTTTTTGTGTTTTATCAAAGACAGGGTTTCATCATGTTGGTCAGGCTGGTCTTGAATTCCTGACCTCAGGCAATCTGCCCACCTTGACCTCCCAAAGTGCTGGGATTTGCAGGCATGAGCCACCATGCCTGGCTGAGCCTCAAGTCTTCTAAAATTGCCCTGAATGACAGTCTTTTTTTTCTGTAAAGGACTGAAATTGCAGAAAATCAGGCGCTAGTTCTTTTTATGCAAGTGGCTGATCTGGAATGAAAGGCACACACTCAGTCTCACCAGGTGTTTACTGTTAAAATGAGGGCACTGAAATGGGGACATATGGGAGAACCCTGATGAAGCTGGGGACACTGAGCTTATAAACTCCGATGTGCCTTTTTTTTGCCAAAGGAAACAGCCTGCCCACATCCAGTGGTGGCAACATCCCCTTGCAGATCCAGGCTGCCATCAGCCTTTCTACCTTTGTCTGAGGAGATGAATCATGCACTGCCTGAGGCAACAGTGATTGCCTCCCCTGAGGTAGTTGCAAGGCAAGACAATGCTGATGCTCCTTATGACCCACCGTAACACTCCCGTCTGCTTCTAGACCTATAACTAAACTAAACCTCTGGCAGGCTTCTGGAGGTGAGGTTCATAGTGTGCCCCATAAGGAGTTACACTAAACCCCAAAATAAATGCTTGAGTTTTCTAATTTATATAAGCAGAATTCTGAAGAACAGACATGAAAGTGGATATTAAAGGTGTGGGGTAATGGTGGAAAGAATTAAAGTTGAATCAGGCTGAATTTATTGATTTGGGATCACTAAGCAAGGATTTTGCATTAACTGTTGCAGCCCAGGGAGTTAAAATAGAAAGAAAAGATTCTAATAGTTTATTTGGCTGGTTAACTGAAACATGGATCAAAAGATGGCCCACTGTGAGTGAGCTAGAAATGCCTGATCTTCCTTGGTTTAATGTAAGGAAGGGATCCAAAGGCTTAGGGCGTTTGGGATGCTAGAGTGGATTAGTCACTTTAGATCCACTTGTCCCAGTTGGGAGGGTCCAGAAGACATATCCTTCACCGATACCTTACAAAATAGATTTGTGAGAGGAGCACCTGCATCATTGAAGAGCTCTGTGATTGCTCTTCTCTGTATGCCATATCTTACATTGGGAATCACAGTCACTCAATTAGAAAATGTAAATGAAATGAGAATAACTGGATCCTGAGGTGGCACTCAACCATCAAGGGTAAGGTGGACATAGCTACCCTAATGGACAGCAGAGACAAAGCACCAATTAGACGTCTGACTCATGTAGAGCTCTGGCATTGGCTGATTAATCACAGCGTTTCTAGAATTGAAATTGGTAGGTAGCCTACTGTATTCTTAATTTGTATAAGCAGAAAACTTCCAGGTTGAGTGGACAAAAGACTAATTTGAATTATAAAAATAGAGAATCACAGCCCCTCAATCTATTTCCAGACTTGAGCCAGTTTAAGGACCCAGAACCCTTTGAATGAAGAGGAGGCCTGTTTTGCATCTATTGAGATAATCACCTGTTTTTTGTCTTTGGTTCTGTTTATGTGATGGATTACATTTATAGACTTGCATATGTTGAACCAGTCTTGTATCCCCTGGATGAAGCCTACTTGATCATGATTAATAAGCTTTTTGATTTGCTATTGCAATCTGTTTGCCAGTATTTTATTGAATATTTTTGCATCAATGTTCATCATGGATATTGGCCTGAAGTTTTCTTTTTAGTTGCGTCTCTGCCCAGTTTTGGTATTAGGATGATGTTGGTCTCATAAAATAAGTTGGGGAGGATTTGCTTTTTTTGTATTGTTTGGAATAGTTTCAGAAGGAATGGCACCAGCTCCTCTTTGTATGTCTGGTAGAATTCGGCTGTAAAACTGTCTGGACCTGGGCTTTTTTTAGTTGGTAGGCTATTAATTACAGCCTCAACTTCAGCCCTTGTTATTGGTCTATTCAGGGATTCAATTTCTTCCTGGTTTAGTCTTGGGAGAGTGCAAGTGTTCAGGAATTTATCAATTTCCTCCCGATTTACTGGTTTGTGTGAATAGAGTTGTTTGTAGTAATCTCTGATGGTAGTTTGTATTTCTGTGGAATCGGTGGTGATATTCCCTTTATCATTTTTTATTGTATCTATTTGATTCTTCTCTCTTTTCTTTATTATTAGTCTGGCTAGAAGTCTATCTATTTTGTTGATCTTTTCAAAATCCAGCTCCTGGCTACCCTCAATAAACTAGGTATTGATGGTACATATCACAAAATAATAAAAGCTATTTATGACAAACCCACAGCCAATATCACACTGAATGAGCAAAAACTGGAAGCATTCCCCTTTGAAATCTGGCACAAGACAAGGATACCCTCTCTCACCCCTCCTATTCAATAGCATTGGAAGTCCTAGCCAGGTCAATCAGGCAAGAGAAAGAAATAAAGCTTACTCAAATAGGAAGAGAGGAAGTCAAATTGTCTCTATTTGCAGATGACATGATTGTATATTTAGAAGACCCCATCGTCTCAGCCCAAAATCTCCAGAAACGGAGAAGCAACTTCCGCACAGTCTGAGGATACGAAATCAATGTGCAAAAATCACAAGCATTTCTATATACCAATAACAGACAAACAGAGAGCCAAATCAAAAGTGAACTCCCATTCACAATTGCTACAAAGAAAATAAAATACCTAGGAATACAACTAACAAAGATCTCTTCACGAAGACATACAAAACACTGCTCAATGAAATAAGAGAAGACACAAACAGATGGAAAAACATTCCATGCTAATGGTTGGGAAGAATCAACACTGTGAAAATGGCCATACTGCCCAAAGTAGTTTATAGATTCAGCTCTATCCCCATCAAGCTACCAATGACCCTCTTCACAGAACTGGAAAAAACCACTTCAAACCTCATATGGAACCAAAAGGGAGCCTGCATAGCCAAATCAATCCTAAGCAAAAAGAACAAAGCTGGAGGCATCATGCTGCCTGACTTCAAACTGTACTACAAGGCCACAGTAATCAAACAGCATGGTACTGGTACCAAAACAGAGACATAGACCAATGGAACAGAACAGAGGCCTCAGAATTAATATCACACATCTACAACCATCTGGTCTTTGACAAACCTGACAAAAACAAGCAATGGGTAAAGGATTCTCTGTTTAATAAATGGTATTGGGAAAACTGGCTAGCTATGTGCAGAAAGCAGAAACTGGACCCCTTCCTGACACCTTATATTAAAATTAACTCCAGATGGATTAAAGATCTAAACATAAGACCTAACACCATAAAAACCCTAGAAGAAAACCTAGGCAGAATCATTCAGGACATAGGCATAGGCAAGGACTTCATGGCTAAAACACGAAAAGCAATGGCAACAAAAGCCAAAATAGACAAATGGGATCTAATTAAACTCCAGAGCTTCTGTACGGCAAAAGAAATAATCATTAGAGTGAACCGGCAACCAACAGAATGGGAAAAAATTTTTGCAATCTACCCATCTGACAAAGGGCTAATATCCAGAATCTACAAAGAACTAAAATAGATTTACAAGAAACAAACAAAAAAGTGGGTGAAGGATATGAACAGACACTTTACAAAAGACGACATTGATGAGACCAACAAACATAGGAAAAAATGCCCATCATCACTGGTCATTAGAGAAATGAAAAGCAAACCCACATTGAGATACCATCTCATGTCAGTTAGAATGGCAATCATTAAAAGATCTGGAGACAACAGATGTTGGAGAGAATGTGGAGAAATAGGAACACTTACACTGCTGGTGGGAGTGTAAATTAGTTCAACCATTGTGGAAGACAGTGTGGTGATTCCTCAAGGACCTAGAAATAGAAATACCATTTGACCTAGCA